ATATAAAAATAATCAAAACACAACCAATTACACAACATTTGAATTTAAACATTTATATTTTTTTTTATTAAATTGAAATTTGTGTGTTTTTGTGATGATTGAAAAACAAAAAATAAAAGCAAAACAAGATAATCAAAAACTATAACCTATTTTGTCAATAAAACAGGACTTATTGTATATAAATTAAGTTACATATCGTAAATTTGGACTATTTCACATTTCTATTTGTCATTTGTTGTATATAACATTTTAAAAACATCTCCAAAAATTATAATGTTTTCTAAATTCTTAATACTATGCTTCTGCTTATGTTTAACCAGTACATTCGCCAACTGGGAAACAGATCTTTTGGTACCATATTCGGAATATTTCCTTTACGAATGTACCAATCATTCAATATACTTCACGACACCAATTAACGACACCACTGACGAGTGCACACAAACCCCATATGGTGTATATAACACAACCGATTATGCCACAGATCTTACTATCCGTAAAGTTGAACTTACAAATATGTTTTTTTCATTTTCGACATTTAAAACGATTGTGGTGGACTATTCGACTGTTGCAAATTCAGTCTTTGGATGTGACGTCGTTGACTGGTTTTATTCCTACCAAACGACCTACAAGAATAGCAATTTTACTCTATTGAAATCGGATGTAATAACACAGTCACAGATATATGGAACTAATTTGTATATGACTGTATTCAATTCCACACAGATGTTCAATTTGAACCCTTTGAAGTTATATATTAATTGGTGCACTATTAGAAATTCAACACTAAAAACCATTTATGTGGTTGAAGACACACAAAAAAATGTGAGTGCAACACAACACACTAATAGAGACGATTTGTACACACACACCGTTAATTATATGACTTTGGAACATAATACAGTTTCGAATAGTAAATTTCAGAGTATTACTGGTAATAATTATATATCAAATAAAACACACTACGATAATGTTGTATTCGAAAATATAAACTTTATGTTCTTTACATTCAAAAATGATTATTTCATAGATGTGACTGTATGTTCAGCAAAAATCACTTCTGGTTTTTTTTAACTTGACTGATTTTGGTAAAATCACTTTTGAAAACACAACTTTTGAAGACACCAAATTTGTGTTAAATAAGAGTGGCGTGATTTTATTCAAAAAGTGCAATTTTAAAAACACTAAGATCAACGGGAAAATGATAAGCAACACTTCATTTAATTGTATTTTTAAAAATGGGAATTCTAATTGCACAGAACCTTTTAAACCAGTACAAGAAAGCAGTGATACCTCGTTGAACGAAAATGGTAAAGTCAAAGTGGATACATACAATAATAATGTCAAAATGTATGCCATATTTACAGGTGTTATATTTTACACCCTATTTTGTTTTGTTGCACTTATTATTGCCATTGTTGTTTTTGCACAAAAATTAAGAAGGGAACGAAGAAATTAACAATTAAACATTATTTGGTGTTATTTGTTATTTTTTTATAATTTATAATTTATAATTTATAATTTATAATTTATAATTATAAAAATGTTATATTTTACTGTATATTTTACATATTAAATAACATTGAACAAATTGCAAGTAAAAAAAATCAAAAAATTGAGTTCATGTTATTTTTTCCTGTTTTTCTATTGCATATTATATGCATTAGACTTCGGGTTCAATATTTTTTACTTATAATTATTGATATTAAAAACGCCAAAGAATCGTGTAAAATATAACATTCCGCTTTAATAGCATTTTAAATACTATTTTTTTATAATAAAAAGCGCGTACCCAAAGTCTAATGTGCATAAAATTACTAACTCCAAACAAATAAAAGATTTAAAAATAAATATATACTGGTAATAATAAATCAATTCAAAAATATAAACGTTATTCGAAGTGTTAATAAAATAACACATATTAATTTGGTATTGTAAATTTATTAATTAAATTTAACACTTTAAAGTTTCTTTTTTTTCTGTTTAATATGAGAATTCAGATAAATTATCTAAATCTGTATTTTGCGTACATGTCAAATAACAATCTTCTTGCTTTTATCAGTAGTACATTATTTTGTAGAATATTTAATCGAAACACTTTAAAAATTATAATTATTATTATTACATAAAAACAAGTAATGTCTGTTGATGAAAACACAACACATCAAACAATTAAATGTTCATGTTTATGTTTTAAAAATTATTCAAAAAAAGATGGTTGTGATACATTACAATTATACAGAAAAAAACATCTTTTAAAAACATAAATATTAAATGGTATAACAAATTGTTTTTTGTCTTTTTGTTTTTTGTGTGTTTCTTATCCCCGAATAAATAATTATTTTTTACTATATTTTACTTAAGTATCTTTTGTTTGGCACAAACAACAAACTATTACCATTAATTTAATTTACTATGTTTTAAAACTATTAAAAAAACATGGAGATTTGTTATGGCTTTTCAAAACTACATAAAACTATATTTTCAATTCCTTATTATTTAAATGGTTTTCTTTTTTATTATCATTTTAGAATGTGTATGGTTTGGACGATTTTGTGGCGAGCCATTTTTTTATCACTACTGGCTGACAAATCCTAATTAATTTATTCAACGAATTAAAAATAATAGTTCCAAACACAAATTCTGGCTGAAAATATTTAAAAATTAACACGGGCTAGCCACCAGTTGAATCCAGTTTGCAGCCCTGCAACAAATACGTCTAGATATTTTAATCAAATAATAATTCAAATCGATTTGAATTATAATTTTTAATAA